TGTCCCCGTGTCCCCATATCCCTGTGTCCCCCTGTCCTTATATCCCCCTGTCCCTATATCCCCCTGTCCCCGTTCCCGTGTCCCCGTGTCCCCGGGCGGCGCTGCCCTCTCGCGGTGGATCCCGGCAGTCGCGGTTGGGGATCGGGTCTGTCGCTCGGTTTGCAGATCCAGCAGCCGGGGAAAAGTTGAAAGGTGACAAAGGCTGATGCTCTTCTAGATTTCGGCCAGTGCASGCTCTCGGGAATCGGGAATTCTCTGCCTCCGGTGGTTCCTCCCCAAGAACCGGGGCTGCCCGTGGCTCYCTGACTCTGAGAAACGCTCTGTGCAGGRTCCCTGGYCTGGCCACTCTGTGGCTGCTGTGGRCTGRGAACAAGGGACAAAGTGGYCCTGGCTGYCTGTCCAAGGGTAAATGGCACTTAAGTGCTGCTGAGACAGAAATCTGAAGTGCTGAGCTTCCCTGCTGGTGCTGATGGGTGTTGGCCCTTTGCTACCAGGACCAAAGAGAGCTCCAGCTCCCTGATGTGACAGCTGTATTTTTGATCATGTCATTTGTCAGCCTAATGCTCTGAAACTGTGTCTGACCCTCTGGGCCTCTGCAGTTCTATTGGGCTTCTAGTGAGGCTGAGGACAGTGCCCCCCCTGCACAGCATCCTGAGTGGCTTTACTGTGTCCCTCACACTCCCCTTCTCTCTGCTGAAGCATTCCATTCCCTCCACAGGAGAACCTGTACAAATTGCAATGAGTCTGGACATTGCAAGTATTTCTAGTATATCTGAGAGTGACATGGTAAGTGAAAGAATTTTATTTTGTGAGATAAGATTAGGAGCTGCCTGAGAGAATTCCCATGTATTCCTGTGTGTTCAGCACAGAATCAAAACTGTCATTTGAAAACTGCTTTGCTATTCAGTGGCTGTTGAAGTGACTTTCAGAGGTGAGATGAAAACAGGTCTCATTTCTGACTGCAGACTGTGTCAATGCCATAGTAATGTGGGCTTACATGTAAATAAAAGTCTTATTGGTCAAAAACTCAGCTCCTTCTGGAAATCAGGACATGTGGAAATAGAAAAAAATCAATCCTGTGTGGCATCCCTTTCCTCCATGTGGGAGCTCTTTGTGTCGGGTAGGGATGGGCTCTGTGGGACATGCTGGCTCTGACTGAAGTCCGGGACAGGGATTCTTCTCAAGGAGGAAAAGTAAGGCTTTGAGCTCAAAGGACTGGCYATCCCAAGAAAAGAAAGAAAATAAATTTAAATAAACAGACAACATCTTCCCAYCACTGGTGAATCTGATTCATTCTATATCTGGTAACAGCTGGATTTCAAACATTAATGACTGAAGGCTTCTCTTTCAGATTGACCMAAATTATGGGCAACTTGGGTAAATTCAGTAAATAGTTTCAGTCCAAACAGTCAGAAGTTCAGTCAGGAACAATTTCAACAGTTAACTTCTGCCTTGTCAAGACTRCCACCACCATTTTTTTTTCTACTTCCTCCCAAACAAATGAAACAAGTTTACTAAATAAAATTGTTTAACTTTGCTAAAGTTATTCATTTTGGGGGAGGAGCAGGACTAACAAAATCAATTTTTCACAAACCTCTAACTTAATTGAAGTGCCTCATAAAGTAGTTCCTGTTCTGGATGTTTTCTTGATGATCCATCTAAATTTCTCTGATCATATAGGAAATATTACAGAAGCTCAATCTGTGTCCTGATAGAAGTTGGAAAATCAACCAGAATTCTTCACTTTTGTSACTACTATAACTCAGTATAACTATGTATTGAAAGCCATAACAACCCATTATTTGACATTACAGATTGAGGGTAAAATTTTACAAAARCAAAAGATACCACTGCCCTAATTTCTTAAAGCACTTGAAAATTAGAGATGGAACGAAGCAAACTACTTGATCTTCCACATTCAGGCAGCAGCTCTGCAGGGAAATGCAGTGGTTCAGGCTGTCAGCACAAGTGCCAGTGCCAGTCTGCCTGTGACACAGATGTTTTGAAGGTGAAAGGCATTTGTTCAATTGCTTTGACTGTAAGGAAGTGAAATAGTCCAACAGTRCCTGTGATGTCCAGAAGGCTCAGCAGAGAATCAGCTTCAGAGCTGAGTGGGTGCTGCTTWTTCTTTTCTGTTGGGGCACTGTGAAAACACTCTAGTCACTGCAGATTGATTTTGACAGGCCAAACTCAAGTTAATCCCAGTGCTCTCAGATTCAAAATTCCTATTAAAATAGAAGGCACAGTCTTTCTTTTTTCATTTGTTTATTTTTCATTTTTTTTAAACCTCCCTGAAAGATTCACAGGCTAGATTCACTTGCCTTTTTTCTCCAAAGTGTCAGTGCCTCTTTGATGATCAGATTTATAATATGCATGGAATTTCCCAGCTTTAGGCAATGACTGATCTGTAATGTCCATGACTTGCTGGGTGGCCTCAAGTGTGTACTTCCTATCTGTTCTCTTATCTGCAAAATGGACACAAAAACATTAGGTACAATAATTGCTCATTAAAAATGTAAAATACTACAAGTATAAGTTTTAGTCCTCAAATTCCACACCTTAGAGAGGAATTGTATTAGAAACATTACAGAGTAAATAAAACTGTGATGGAAATGAAGCATGAGGCTTGGCTGTGACAGGTCAAATGAAGGTGTGTTCTGTCTCTTGTCACACACACGGGCGAGGCCGCAGCTGTGCTGGGCAGGTGCCTGCACACACCTCCTGCCAGGCTCTGCTCTCCTTGCCAGGATTACACGGCTACCATATCCCTGCGGCAGCGCTGGACAGACCCACGGCTCACCTTCCACGGCAACAGGAGCTTCACGCTGGACGCTCGTCTGGTGGAGTTGCTCTGGGTGCCAGACACCTACATTGTGGAGTCAAAAAGGTCCTTCCTGCACGACGTCACTGTGGGCAACCGCCTCATCAGGCTGTTCTCTAACGGCACTGTCTTGTACGCCTTAAGGTATGTGACCTGTGCCTTGCTGCTGATGGCTCATAAGAGATTTCCAGAGTTACCCTGGACAGGAGCAGATGCCACCTGTCACAGGTCATGAGTTTGGGGTCAACAAGCCAGCTGTGACTATACTCTGCTGATCCATTTCCCCCTGTTCTGGCCAGTCACGGATCAGGATTTCCCATCACAGACATGCTGTGTCCTGAGGCCTGCCCAGAAAGCTCACAAGTTTAGGTGTCACAGAGGAAAAGTCAAGTCAGATGGAGGCAGGGGAGGAATGGAAGGAAGACATCACAAAGTAAAAGTTTAACTGATCATGGGAAACCATTTCCTTATACAGTGCCATATAGTGGTGACTTCTGTTTTTTACTAAAAAATTTATTTGTCCATGCACTGCAGGAATRTGTACTGCACTTGTTCTAGCAATTCCTACAGTACTCTCCCTAGCTTGCAGAAACTGGGTCCCAGTTACCTCAGCTGAAGAGTAAAACCCRTTTACCTCTGCATCAGAGCAAGCCAGGAGCATGTGTACAGTTCATTACTGTGTCTCATCTCACAAGTGTGAAAATTGTAATACTGGAAAAAAAATGTGAACCTACACTCAATATCCCACCACAGCAAAGCAAAATTCCTCCTTGGGTTACATTTTTGTTGGGGTGTCTGCAGAAAGTACTTGTTCTTAAGGAGGGCTCTCAGYTTATTCATTTCATAGGTCCAAATAATCTCACTGACAGAGCAGAGGCTTTGTGATCCAGTTTGCTGAATCAGTAAAAGAGCTATTTCTTTACATGCTTTTACTGAAACTTTCTGAGTTCTTTCCTCTTCCTGCAGAATTACTACTACTGTTGCCTGTAACATGGACCTGTCAAAATACCCTATGGACACACAAACATGCCGACTGCAGCTAGAAAGCTGTAAGTATAACATCCTAGAAAACTCCAACTTTAAATTTGTTAATTCATAAATAACTACACATTTTGAATGTGGCTTTCTGCCAGTGGCTTTCTGAAGTGGACTTTTATTCCTGCAAATACTAATGTCCAAAAGAAAACAACTTCATGTCATCATTCTTCAAATTCTTCTTTGTGTTGTAATCCACAATCCAAAGAATTCCTGTCACTGTGCAATTTATGCAAAAAAGTGGGAATAAAAAAATATTTTATGAAAGTGTACATAGTTTAATCTTGCATAGAAGGATGAAGTAATATTACTTGGGTTTCAAAATCTGGTTCCTTTTGAACACACAGCTTCTTCAAAACTAGCTTGTGGGGTAAGTGCATGAGATAGAGTCCAGCAAAGTACAATTCTCTCATTTTCAGAGATCTACTACCTATTGCAGCCCAAAATCCCCACATTGGGAARGGTGGTTCTCACTAGAATGAGAGTTGGACATGGCTCTCAAACTCATGAGCTGAAATTRGGGCCAAGCCTGGCTTTGTGGTGCCCACTACTCCACTAGGGCTGTCTACTGTAGGGGTACAGAGTATGGGACCCTTGTCAGCAGGAGAGTTTCAGATGGGAAAGTCTCAAGGAGAGGAATTAGCAGTGAGTTCTGCCCTCAATTAGATTAAAAGCTCTCCTAAGGCAATGCTGGCTGAGAAAATGTCATTCCCTGCGGAGCTGTTACCCCAGAGCTCAGCCAGTGCAGCGCCGCCACTCGGTGCCCGAAATGAGCAGATAGTCTGCTCCTTTCATGGCACAAAACCAAACATCCACCATTAGCACTGAAAAGATTAGATTTTTAACTTCTGGGGTTGCAGCATGAAGCACCTAGGGATGCACGTATTATTTTCACATTAAAATCATATTAGTTCACCATGGTTAACTTTATTACAAAGRATAGCTCTTGAAATAATAACAATTGTCTTCTTCTGCGAAGGCAGAGCATGTTTAGGCCTGGTTTAAAAGTGATTGGGTCCTACATCATTCTCAGTTGCTGTATAATTCCAATGAAATTACCTACACATTGCCCACTGGAGATTTCATTAGGATAAGTGCCCAGAAATAATGCTATTTAACTACACACCAGATGAATTAACAACAATCTATCACTTATTATAAAATTTTCTTGAGTAACCACGATTTATAAAGCCACTTAGAAACTTTGAAAAGTCACATGTTTCGGATTCTACTCAGGGATTTATACTCTGGACACCTAATTTAGGAGTTCATCATGCCCAAGCTCTGGTAATTTGTGTCTAATAAGAAAACACAATTAGCTGAAAATAGAGCTACAACTGCATCTGATCCCTTCTACCAGGACAAATGGGTTATTTTCAGAATCACAGTGTCCCTACGCATGGTCTCAAARAAGGGTTCTTAATAAAAGAATTAAAACAGTGAAACTGACTGGCTTGTTTCCTAAATTAAGTCAAATTTTTGAAGGGAATGGCAGGCTGTCAACTCAGTACAAGATTTATCCCTCAGACTGAGGTATACCTCAGTGTAACCTGAGGTCATGTCATCACATCCCTGGAGGCACTTACTCAGATGGCATATATGGAGTCCCACTGCTTTSAGGCAGGAATTTGGTGTTATCTGAATGTTGTGTGCATTTATTTGTCYTCMRTAACTCAATGCCTTTGAGGATAGGRGGAATGATTTGTAGACAAAGTTGTTTTTATGAGCAAGCTTTCTGGACAATGTGTACCCAGTCAGAGGAGCCTGGTTCATACTACACAGTCTCAGCTGTAAGCTCTTGACTAATTGAGAATGCATTTTCTGTTGTTTTCAAGCACTTTAATAGGCGATTCAGTAAAATGCGCTTCTGCTCTGCAGTAAGGGGCTCAGTGGGATTTGAATTCTCTTTTTTTTAAAGAGAATTTCCACTGTTTTCTCCTACTCTTGGTCTGATGAGACGATGTTTACAGATTAACCACTGCAGTACTTTGATTTTCCTGCGTGTARTCAAGCTGTGGATGATAGCAATGGATTATCTTTGAAAACAGAAATAACCCATATGAACAGTTGAAACAGGCTCTCAGCAGCCTGGCACGTTGTATGTCATTCCCAGMGGTGTGCTCCTGTCAGAACCTGGAGCAACAGAGCCAGTGTGGCAAAGGAAGCACAGCCAAAGTCCCCTCCAGTCAGTCCCGGGTCAGGTCACCTTTGTTGAGGGTGCAGTGCCTGAGTCAGGGCTCTGCTCCCCTCGGGAGGMACAGCAGGGCAGCAGCCGCTTTCACTGCTGAAGCACTCCCGGCCTCTGTGCTCTCCTTAGGGGGCTACGATGAAAACGATGTCGTCTTCACGTGGCTGCGAGGAAACGACTCCGTCCACGGCATCGAGAAGCTGCGGCTCTCTCAGTACACGGTGCAACGCTACCACACCCTGGTGTCCAAGTCACAGCAGGAGACAGGTAAATCTGAGAWAAAAAGCAGGCAAAGCTCTTGGGAATTCCCCATCCCATCTCCTCTCCTTCCTGTGGGCCAGTATCTTTTCGACTGAAACAGCTACAGCAATATCTGTAGCAAATCTTAATCTTGCAAAGAAAGATGAACAGAAAGATGATGAAATCCTATTAGTTGTAATCAGGATATTCTGTAAGATGAAAATCCACAGAAAGATGGAGGATACCTGAAGAAACTCTCTCCCTTCTATYCAGGTGTGCAGAGTATAAATACTGTGGAGAGCAATATTTACAGTAACTGGGAGTAAAACTGATTTTTAAAATATGTATTTGTTTGTAAATTATAATTCTATCATGATGGAATAACATAGTTTTGTAGCCCAGCATTCAATGTCTTTTTCATTWTCAGTGTAAAATACTCTTTTCTCCAATCACAGATACTATGAAAGGGGGCAAAACTTCCTCAGAATGAAAAGATTTTAAAAATAACAATTGTTTTTTTGTTCTGTTGAATACATAGCCCATGAACAATATGGACTTTGTTTCCATGTTTCAAAGGTATTATTGTTTAAAGAGCAGAACCATCTTCTACTACTGATCCAGCCTCAGAACCCTTATGTCAGTATTTACAATAAATTGATTTTTAAAAGATGACTGAATTTTTTGAGCACAAAAAGATACCATTTTTTGTCCAAGATCACAAATCACTAAAATGGGGGTCTAGTTCTCTGTGATGATGGGGTACTGCGATGCTTTGGGATGTGAGCCARAGCCTGCTGACATCAAGAAACAAATGTTTTGTCTGTTTTTAAACCTTATCTTTTAAGATAAGGTTGAACTTGACAGTGCCCATCAGCAGGTGTTGGTTGAGGTGGGCTGTGCTGATGTGAGRGACCAGGGGAGAGCACCCGCCCCGCTCTGCCCTGGGCTGGGACATTTCCACTGCAGGAGCTCCTTTGCAAGGCATGTGATGCTCAGATGCCTCCTTGCCTGTCAGTGCTGGGTGTGTTCCTTATGCAGCGTGTGTTGGCAGTGTGGAAGCTCTCAGGGAGTCCCCTCGTGTAGGGGTGTTGCCTACAGCAGCACTCTGAGGTGTAARCAAGGCCTCTCCCTTGGTTGTGGGCTGGCTCTGCTGAGCTCCATCAGCTGGTGCTGGGCTGTCAAAATTCCACTTTGGGTGKCCTTGGGAATCTCACATTCACAAAGTATTTTCCTTTCATGAACAGGCAGTTACCCACGACTGATATTAGAGTTTGAACTGAGAAGAAATGTCCTTTACTTCATTTTGGAGACCTATGTGCCCTCCACTCTGCTCGTCATGTTGTCATGGGTTTCTTTTTGGATCACACTGGACTCCGTGCCCGCAAGAACCTGCATTGGTGAGTTATTGCCTGAGGAATGGAGAAGATTTAAGCAGGCAGAGGAGCCTTTGAAGGCTAGGAGKATGGTACTTATCTTGAGCTCCCTGCTCAGGGATAAATGTTCTGCTGCTGTTCCTTGGGCCTTCTGCTGTTCCTTGGGCCAGAGCTGGGTTGGCGTGGARGAGATGCTGTGGCAGAGACCTGTGCCCACCTGCAGAGCTGTGTTTGGCCAAGGATCCCAGCAGATCCAGCAGAGAGCAGAGGACAGAGCACATGATCTTTGTGAGRTGCTTTGGAGGGAGCAGGATGAGGGAATTATTTTTTCTGAAAGCATGAAGAAGAGAGCMAACTGCCTATGGGAGCCAAGCTGCCAATGGCAGGGAGAGCCTGTGTGAAGCCAGTAGTTAATGCTGTGGAAGCATTTCAGTTGCTATATGATGGATGGTTTGGATTTGGGAAGGAGTGATGTGCTTTATCTGGAGAGCAATGACACGAGCACAAAGGTAGGACAAGACTTTTCCAAAGTGTCCACAAGAAAAGGTCTCCCCTTTTSTGTTTTCCAAGGAGTTACAACAGTGCTTTCTATGACAACTCTGATGATTGGCTCACGAAGTTCACTTTCAAAAACCAACTGTTTCATTAAGGCCATTGATGTCTATCTTGGCATCTGCTTCAGCTTCATCTTTGGTGCCCTTGTGGAATATGCAGTGGCTCACTACAGCTCATCACAAAAGTGTRCAGCTAAAGTACCAGAAGAGGTAAGGCTGATGTACTTTAATAAGCCCAGTCATCCTGCATTGACAGCAATTACTTCTCCACTGACTGAAAAGACAAATGGTCTTCCTGCTATGGATACATTAACAATGCTTCTCCTAATTGGCACGAAATCTAAACTTTTGTGTGTAACAAACACATGAATAGCACAGGAGTGCTGTGTCTCTGACAGCCCTCTGAGCAGCAGTTTTAGCTATCAGTCCTATTGSGTTCACAGGGCCACATTCAGAAAGGCACTTAAGCCTGGCACTGGAGTTGGGTCCATGGCTCAGAGCTGAGCTCACGGGAGTGTGAGGGAAGAGCCACTACAACACAGCTCTTCACTCTTGTATCAAACAACTCCAATAAGGGAGGTATTTTACCAGAGGAAAGCTGAACCCTTCTTCCTCCCTTCCCAGAGGATGCTTCCAAACATCAGTCCCACAGTGTTCTGTGGGGATTGTGAGACTGAGTTGTTCAAGGGCTCTGCTTTAGTGTGAGAAATCAATCAGGTATGGCTGTAGTCCAGTGGTCAGCAAGAGCCCAGATCCTGTCAGGGGAAAAAGAAGTTTCCCACCTCGATATTGAGGTCTCCATCCATTWAGGTACTGTGTAGATAGGAGGGGATAGATATCCTGTAGGAGATGGATGTTACTCAAGGRTCTGAAAGTATCTCTAGAAATATAGAGGTGAAAGCACAGGCATCTCTGGGACCCCAGGCCCTTCTAAGATTAGGCAGCAGCTGAAAGGTGTGTTTGAATATTGGGATGGCCAYGTATGAAGCTGTGATCTTTATCCTTATGATATCTTTATTCTCCTGGTCTCCTTCCTGTGCAGAAGWCAAACCTCAAAACTAACTGTGCACTCCTGTTTCCTAGGGGCCTGCAAATGAACCATCTAAAGAAATGGAAGAAGTAAACATCACCAACATCCTCAACAATTCCATCACTGGCTATAAACAGAAAATCAGCTTCACAAGCATTGAGATTTCCAGTGATAATGTTAACTGCAGTGACTTGACCATGAAGAGTCATGAGAAAATCAAATGTGTCTTGAGAAACAAAATGCACAGGATTTTTGGTTATTTCACMATTCAGAACCCTGGCAATGTGGACCACTACTCCAAATTGCTTTTCCCTTTGTTTTTCATGCTGGTCAATGTGTTTTATTGGGCATATTATCTATATTTTTAGTAGAAATTAGTTCTTCATTCTTCTACTTCAGCAGGAGAGGAATTGTGCCTGTGGGCATCTAACCATCCAACCTCAGTGAATTTAGTGTGGACAAAAAAYTTCCTTGTGTTTCCTGAGGTACCCAGCAGAAGAGTGTGTGAAGTGTGTCAGCRTCAGCAGCACTGACAGCAGCCTGTCCAGCTGAGGGGCTGTGCTGGGCTCTTCTGCTCCTGGCTGCATTTCATTCCACACCTCACCTGGCTGCAGATGGGTGTGCAGGACTGCATGTGGCAGCTACAGAGCACTACAGATKGCAAAATTATTTTGGTATCTTGGAGAAGGTTGGAACCTTTGCGTTTAGATGTCCCAGAGGATCACAGCTGTTATTGTTTGTTTGCCAGAGATAACAGAGGGACTGTGATTGCTCTCAATAGCTGCTCTGTTGCCATGAGAGTCGTCAGGCAGCAKCAGGAACATGGTGCAGCACAGCTCAGAGTGATGCTTCTGTGCATGGTGCTGCTTTGTCCCGGGCGATGCAGTGTCAGGCCGGTGATTTTGGCACCTGTGCTGCCTTGTTGCTTTAACATTTGTCACTCACTGAGGAAATCCTCACTTGCTCAAGTTCTCCATCCCCAAGACAGAGCTTGTTGTTTGTAGAGCTGCATTTTTTTCAGAGATTTGGGAGCATGAGATGGAGGCAGCAAAAACATTTTGTAATCCATCACATATTCTTCCTGCTGTGCTGCTGYTGAACAGAATCTACCATTTTCCATGTCTTCCTCACAAATTATTTTTTGTCCTGGAGAGTGTTTCCCTCAGCTTTCACTGCTACAAGCAGCTCTCAACTCTTGTCAGCCAAAGGCACAAGTGGTCCATTTGTCATCCCCTCTTTTATGTGGCTGTGCAGTTGTGGCAAGTCAGCCGTGCTGCTGGGTGAAAAACATGCATGGKCTGGGGTCGGCTAGTCTAAATCATCCTTTCACTCTCTATTGTAGGCTGAAACACTGTTACTTTTCTGAAGAAATTCATATTCTAAGTGGGCTTTGGAAACTGCCRGAAGTCAGCTTTGTTTATCCTGCAATCAGCAGGAGCCACAGTTTTTTTTAAAGGTAAATTAAATGTGGTGCACACCATTGCATTAAAGAACCAAATGCCATTTGGTACTGTGTAGCTTAAGACTACTGGAAGTCTTCAGTTCCTGACTGTAAAATGAACATTTTATGGCAGATTCCTCCACCCCACCACCCTTTTAAGGTCTGTCCTAAGTGAGAGGGGGTAACCCTGCAGTTGAGTGGGCARAGCTGGAATTGCCTGCAGTGCCTGCCATTCAGCAGAGCTCTGKCTGAGTGAGGTCTCTCAGCTTGCAGCTTGTGTTGCAGACTCAGCACCCTGTGTTTGCTTAGCTCAGGAATCCCTTCTTGGGAGTTCCTATGGAAGGTGAGCAGATCGCGTGAAACTATGGATTTTTTACTTTAATAACTTTTTATTGAACTATTTCACTACACTACACTGTGAGGGAACTAACCCACTTATTCATAAATCATAGCATTTACAAAGAGCAGATCAAGAAGGCAAAGGGGAACAGACTGACAATGGCAAGTGGATAAACACAAACTCCAATAATGAAATGTTGGTTTGTATATACTGGCATTTAAAGTCCATTCCATAAAATGTAATAAAGTGAATGTTTGTGATATGAACACAATCCCTCAGAGAGACTCTCTACTAAAAARAAATCATTACCTCTTTTCTGTATTGGTTTCTTTCTTTAAAACCCAACTAAAATGCYCTAATGTGTTCTACACTAGCTGCCAAATATTAATGTTAACAAAAGGAATTTCTTTGTACAAAGCCCTCCATGATCATCGAGTCCCGCTGTTCCCCCAGCCCTGCCAAAGCCACTGCTAAGCCATGTTCCCAAGTGCCACATCCACACAGCTTTTCAATTCATCCAGGGATGGTGACTCCACCACTGTCCTGGGCAGTCTGTTCCAACCCACCACCTTTCCAGGAAAGAAGTTTTCCATAATATCCACCCTGCCCCTCCCCTGGCCCAGCCTGAGGCTGTTCCCTCTCCTCCTGTCCCTGTTCCCTGGAGCAGAGCCCGACCCCCCCGGCTGCCCCCTCCTGTCAGGGAGTTGTGCAGAGCCACAAGGTCCYCCCTGATCCYCCTTTGCYGCTTTGACCTTGCTCAGGACTTGCTCTAACTTGCACCTCTTGCAGTGGGATGCTTTTTGTTGGCCTGGCGTAGGCAGCAGCATGTTGTCTTGCAAAGTGTCAGCTTGGTCTATTCTCATTTACTGCTGGTTTTGGCAACTTCCAGAAGGAAGGGAGGAACAGAACGYAGCAGGGGAAGGAGGTCTTTTTTAGATATTCAGATATTTTGGATATATTCAGATGAGAATATTCTTAAAGGGCTGTTGGCTGAACAGGGGAAACATCTTACCTCAGAAATTTTAAAAACTAGAAAGCATGGATTCCTGATTTCTTTCCTCTTGCACATAGTTTCTCTCTCTTTGATGGACTTCCCCCTTTAAWACACCTCACATGACTGTTTCCCTTGATGGTCCTGCTGTAACWCTAGGTATTGACTGTGGGCACAGAGGGGTCCTTTTAGAGACAAACTGAYGCTCAGCAAGGACCAGGTATGGAAAGTGAGAAACCAAGTGAACAAGCACCAAGCTTGTTTAACCTGCTATTGATATATCAGGTGTGGGGCAGAGCAACCACAACAAAATTTTGCTCATGCGCCCTACAATGATCAAGTCAGCCCAGCTGCACTGGTGTCCTGGAGCAGCCTGGTGTTATCACTGGTGTTCTGGGCACAGGACAGTGATAGATGAGCCCAGACACGTTCTTCAGAGGGGTCAGGATGATGCACTGCACAATCCCAATCTGTTCCTGTCTTCACATGTTGTCTAACACAAGCTAGAAGTACCACTGAATTTGAGATGAGACTTTCATACCCCAGATAAGCACAGTTACTCTTCCATGTGACTGCTGTGTAAAGCCAAGCCCCAACAGCTCAATGGACACCAAGCAAAAATCAGCCTTTCCCACAAAGGCCTGCTACATAACAGGCAAGCTGCAGATGAAGCCATAGGTAAGCACTGTACCCAGCTCTCTTTTGTTTAAGGGTTCAGCTTTGTGCAGGTTCTACAGGGAACATGAAGGGGTTTGAGTGGCAGCCTAACATTTGAAGGAGCTTCCAGGCTGATGGTTCCTGGAATGCTCTAAGGGGCTTAGAATATAGGAACTATCCCTAACATTTACTATTCCACTGTAAATTCCATTATTTACATGTGCCAGTTTGTCTGTACCCTTGGCAGCACATGAATGTCCAGAGGAAAAGAYTGACCAGCTTTTTGAGATAATTCTGCTTTGCAGTGGTGCTCTGATTTGCAGTAACCCTGCCTTAGGCTGTAGCTCCTGGAATCTTTGTCTCTTATAAAGAATATTTGCACTTTAAACCTCCATGGRCAGAAGTTTGTGAATGTTGACACAGGGAAGCTGAATGGATAGTGAGCAGCTTTGATGCTGTAACCTTGAGGCGTTTGCAAGTGATGCAAATGCTCGCAACCCAGAGGAATGTAATGCCTCAGAATATACTCTGAAGAGTTGCCATAGCTGGTGACCAAAACCAATGCAGCCACAGCAATGGGAAGCATTTTGGGRATTATTTTATCCAGCAAAAAATGAAGGATCTGCACAGCCTATCTGCAGCCCTCCTCTACAGCTAATACATAATGTCTAGGGGAGAAAACCAACACATTTTAGTAGAGCCCAGTATTTCCCTGCTTCCTTTTCTGCCCTCCACCTGTGTTTTACCCTCACTCTTCTGGTGCCCACCTCACCCCCAGCATGGCACTGGTCATGCTGCAGTGCCRCCGTTCTGAGCTTACAGAGTATTATTTTTCATTTCCAGGAGGATAAAGGGCTCAGTGYAGGAATCCTGTTGTTGCAGAGTATGTGGTTTCCATTAACATTTCCAAGAGGTTTTGTATATGCAAACACTACCATCTGCTGAAAGGAATACCTTACAAGGTTAATTCCGTTTAAAACCTACTGATGAAATTGGTAGCAGAAATCACTCTCATTAGCTTGCAGTAGTTATTGTCCCAACACTCAGCCAGCAGCAAATGCAGTCTTTACAAGGAAAGACTGTTTAGTGCTGSTACTTGGCACAGGTTTTCTCCAGGTTCACACCAAAATAACTTTTGTATTCATTAATTAATAAAAGCTGTCTTAAATTACAGTCTATTGTTACACTTGGGATCAGCCAATGGGCTTCTTGTTAATTCGAGGTGACTGCTAAGTCTGTAATGAATAATTAGATGCATTTTCTTTCTTTCTCCTTACTCTTTCCTGATCTTATCCCTGCAGTTTTTCCACAAAGTTCCTGYAGCTTCAAATTCTTTTAAATTGTTTTTTACTCCCTTGGCAGTTCACCAGGAGAATTCAATATTAAAGTGCAAGCTGTGTTTTTTCGCACAAAAATCTGTGTTATGCCTTACTTTCTTTCTCAGATTAGATGTTTGCAAAAGAGGAAATCTGTATTTTGGAGCTGACATTTGGATGTTCTACTCTGCTAGTAAGCTAAATGAACAGAAGAGTTATGAATTGTGAACAGGGAAGAAAAGCAAATTTAGTTCTAGATATGGAGCTGCTTCTTTGTCCTGCAAAAAAAAAGTGCTTTTGTATAATGTTAATGTACCCCCAGGAAGATCCCAGATCCTATGCAGAGGTGAGTGTATACTGGCAGAGTTTKGAAACAGAAGAGATTTTTGTATTTGGGGTGCACAAGCACGATGAGGTCCTGACTCCTGCCCTTCAGGAACAGGGCTCCAGCAGGGTCTGCTGGGCAGCTGCATCTGCTCACCTATCTGGAGGCACAGCCTGAGAAACTGGCCCTCTGGAAGCCTGTGGATCCAGAAGTCATCTGGTTTTGGTCTTTCCAGGATGTTGTTGGCATGTTTATTTTCACACTGTAGAGTCCCTCCACTTACCCCAGCTTCTACCAGAGGAGAGATTGGATGGAAAGAGCCTGTATTTTTTTCATTGTGTTTTCAATGTTTTTTTTTTTTTTAGTTCCACTAAACTACAAGGCATGTTGAGGTTTAATTATTTGGTACTTGATCTTGTTTTTATTGGATTGAGATGCCTGGAAATCAAATCCTCAGACTTCAGAGAGTATATAATTAAAGCTCTAGGAAGGGTCAGACCATGCAGATTGCTCTCAACACTGCTGTAAGACCAAGCCTTCCCATCAGTGCAGAGTTTTAAATTTATGCAGTTTGAGATATATGCCCACCTACAGTGCCTTGTTTTAAATATAGAGATTATATCCCCCCTGCTCCCCCAAGGTGACTGTAAGTTTTGGCTTTATACTATTGGTTCAGGTTTTCCCCAGAGATGTCCTGCCCTCTTCCTTTTCTGCAGCCCCCAGCCCCAGCTCTAAAGCACAAACACGAATGATTCTGGCTCTGCAGTGTCCCATGGCCCAGCAGAGCAGCCAGGCAGGGTCCCTTCCCCTCCACTGCCCCAGGAGCGTTTTCCCTGCAGCAGCACCACACCATGAGGCTGCTGTGGGTCATCAGCTGAGGCAGTCACACAGCAGAGCCTCCTCAGTGCAGGCTCAGCCTCCTGTCAGYTGTCAGGAAATGCAACAACAAACACGAGGTCAGAGCAGCCCTTCAAGACAGCTCATGCTTTCAGACATTTACTTTAGAACAATCAGGTCAGCCTTTAACATAAAACCATTCTGACTTTCATTGCACACACAAAGTTTGTGTTTAGTGTCTCCAGCCATGCTGCAGCTGGGATAGACTGACACTTSTGAGAGTGCTCCATCAGCCTGGGTGGAGAAACAATCCCAAGTACTCCCTGTTGGACACAGGCAAAGGTATCTRCCCTGCCAACTCAGCTGAAAGGACAGGATGAAACCCTGAGCCGTGGAAGCCATATCAGTCTGGCTACTGATTTAAAAGGACACAGGCCTTAAGTGCCCTTAAAAGGACACTTCTTAGCTCATGCTCACATGAAGTTTTCATTCATATTCCCTTGCCTAATGCCATTTCCAGCTTCAATAACTTTAATTAGGAAAAAATACTCAAAGCTGAGAACTCTCCCAGATGAGCTACTTTGYRTACTGTAACCTTCAGAAACAGCAGRCAGTAAAGGGGACGGCTTCTGCTGGCCTTCTGGAGATGGGAAAACCCCACCAAGTGCCCTGCCCCATCCTGACCCCAAGAGCAAAAGCAGTAATGAAAGGTAGGCAGAGAAAATATTCCTGGATGAGTCTCATCTTCCCAGAGGCACAATGTGGTCTTCAGCAGATGTGACAGAGAGCTGTCATGGATTTCTTTTTGCTTTTTTTTTTGAGCCTCCAAGTATTCACAGAATCACARAATGATCCAAGSTGGAAGGGCCCCACAAGGATCGTCCAGTTCAGCTACTGGCCCTGCCCAGGACACCCCAACAATCCCACCCTGTACACCCTGGCAGAGCTGTCCAAATGCTCCTGGAGCTCTGGCAGCCTTGGGGCYGTGCCCATTYCCTGGGGAGTCTGGGGAGTGCCCAGCAGCCTCTGGGCACAGAACCTTTTCCTGTTATACAGCCTGAGCTTCCCCTGACACARCTCCAGCCATTCCCTCAGRTACTGAGAKGAACGATGTTACCTGGAGATTACTCCTTTTGGCCAGAGGCATGAACAAAAGAGCCCAGGGTGGTGATCCACCTGGTGCTTTGATACAATCCTATTTGACCACAGAAAACAGAGTCCAGAGAACAGCAGAAAATCCAACAGCAAGAGGCAATACCTGTGCTCTCAGCCCTTCTTCAGGGCTGCCCYTCTGAGCTGGTCTCAAGTGTGCCTCGAGTCACTATTCATTCTGAAGCTTTTTCCTCTTCACTCCCACTTCCACCTCCTGCTGCATAATTCATGAGTGCCCAAACCACCTAAATCCAGATTAACATCCTATCCCCACATACAGCCTGCATGTCCCCTCCGCTGCACAGCACAGTGCATGTCKTTGAAGCTCTTTGATCACAGATGAACATAAATGTTTGTCAGAAGTGTTAAATTCTGGAACAATTCCAACCAAAGCACAGTGGTGGGAGGCAGATCCTTTCTCTCTTCTCCAGTAGTTTTGCT